ATTATTAGCTAAGATTTTATGATATTCTAATTGGTATAACATAAACAAAAAGTGGTTTAATAAAATTTCGAATGCAAGACACTAAAACCGTGTGTCATGCACACTAAAGGGCGATAGGGTTCAAAAACATGAAAAAAAAAGGAGTCTTCAGCCCAACTGTTGGCATATAATTTTTTATACTTAAATTTTTTATTTTTTTTATATTTGGAAGATATCTGTACAAAAATTGACCAATTAATTTAGTTTTTCTCTTCCTCACTTTTACCTAATTCATGGTTTACTTAGTCCTTCAAAGTAATGAGAGATGAATAAGTACCTTTTTCTTAACCCTTTTGCAATGAGCTCAGTATAAATTACCGAGTCCCTATAGACATTTGCAATCGTTAAGTATTTATGCTATAACTTTTAATACAGTATGTGTATCTTCACAAAATTTGGAAGACTTTTGCAAAACATTACAAGTCTTTTGTATACAAAAAATCAGGTTTTTTAATGAAGAATTTTTTGCTAAAGATTTGTTTGTGAATGTATTGGGTCTATTTCATTACTATTCTCAGTGCAAAGTGAATTTCATGTTGAGATTAAAAATACTATTTTTCATCCTAAAAATCTCAAATTTCATTTGCATAATTTTTAAAAACCTCCTAAATACTTTTCAAACGTTTTTTTTTCGTTTTTTAATGAAACTATAGTTTATCTGTTATTTAATTCTATACAAGGTTGGTCAATTTGACCGATCTTGTAACCACAAAAAAAAGTCGAAATAAATCTAAATTACCCTTTTTTTCTTTATCAAATGACTTCAAATTGTAACATGAAACTGCATTTGTATGCCCTAAGTAGCTTTATACTCATAACAATATACAATGATTTATACTAAATTTTACTATTTTATTTTCCTTTGAACCATGCCTAACTACTATTCACACCATAATAAGTTGTAAGTCACTTGGGTAACGTGGGGCTTGTGTTACGCTATCAAATTACATTATTCACGAGCTACTTGCATGCATGCTTTGTGAAAATGTTTTATTATATTATTATTATTATCATTTATTTTACCTAATCTAACCTAAAGAGATTCCTATTTTTACATTTTAGATACTTTTATAATAATAAACAAAGAATACTTGTAATAAACAAGAAATAAAATACTTACCTGGCTCTTTTTTTTCTGTCGATGACACTTAACCCTACTTTTTTGTACTAATGGTAGTAGTGCACTATATAATTTTTATTTGATAAAATAATGCACCAAAGAACATAGAATAATAACACATAAAAAGCAGACAATTTCTCATAACTATCACAATTTTTCTGGCTTTCAAACTATGTGACAAGAGCCGTTACAAATTCATCCACGCTAGTCGATATCTTGTGGGAACAATGCTTGTACTAACAAAGAAATTGATTATTCTCTGTTCAAAATACAATGTGACATGATATGTCATTTGATAGATGTAAACATTAGTTTTCTGTGGCTATACATAATATAGTATTAAACCTAAGAGAGAACTATTAACAAATCTTGAAAGAGATGATGTGAGAGGTGGGTATGGCAAGAAGGGTCTGATTTGCTATTTGATGTCTCTGTAACCAAACAAGATTGAAGGCTATAAAAATTATGCTTTGTCTGAGTGAGTGATAGTGAGTAACTTGCATTAAATGTTGTGCTTATTGGAGGGGTAGTGAATAAATTACAGAAGAGGGGATGCCTAGAGAAAAAAAATTCACATTTCTCACGCTAGGGGAAATTCAGAATTTTTTTTAGTTTTTGCCTTATAAAATCAAGAACTTAAAACTTGTATACTATTAAAATTTGTATTATTACCTGTGATTTTATGCTGAAAATCTACTAGACATGCCAGCCCTTCTGGAAATCAATTAAACAAATGCATTATACATATTAAACTTTTATTGAAGAATAAAATGTATTTAGATGAGCCATACTGCGACTAGTAACTTCGTTACTAACTTTTGGCAAATCCATTTCATCCACATAATTCTGCAGGATATAGAGATGAGCAAGATGATTCATGTGAGACTGTGACATGGTGAGGCGCAAGGAACTTTTCAGCTTCCTTAGGGAAGAAAATGATCTTTCCGCAGTACATATAGTTGCTGAAGCCACTCTGTAGATTTTGAACACGGTGAAAACTGTTGGACAAACCATCCATAAGCACAGGATTTTCGTGCATTGCTTCACAAAAATAATGTACAAATCTTTGATGAATCTTGGTAATGACACTGTGCACTTGTACAATTTTATATTTCACTACGTTTTTTTTGTTTTACGGCACCAGCTCATCTTCACAAATGTTGTACATTTCATCAATATCAGTTGCAGATTGCTTGCTTATACATTTCTTGATCACTGTTAGCTTATGCAAGTCAGTATTAGGATATCTCGCAGAAACTGATTCAACAGCAACTGCAAACACTGATTGATATTTACTTTCAGCTCAAATAAATAACCATTAAACTGTCAAAGCTATATTATGCAAATATTATGAATTGAATGCATACAGATGGTATTATTCTGCCAGCTTTTTGTTGATTACTTTATATGATTATGTGGTATAAAAATATAAATGCAGATGATCCAAAACATTTGTCAATAATTATGATTTACCCTTCATTCTCTGTAAAATCTGTTTAAATTGTACAAAATATATTTAGAGAGCAAGAAACAAATATTATTCTTGAGTCTTCTATAAATACACGTGGACATATGTAATTATCTGAATGTTTAGTGAAATATAAGCTATGTTTAAAAGATCATTTTCTTATTTGAAATTAAAGCTGTGTCTGTTTAAAGAAATATTATTCAAATCGAAATAATCAAATGAATCAAATAATAAACCTGGAAACATTTTTTTAAAGAAATATCAATAGTTGTACATTGTCTTTGGCGGTAAATAATATTAAGTTTGCACATTAAGGGTTAATGATCAGACTAATCGTAAGCCAATCAAGAGAAGTTTTTATACAAACATCTGAGTTACTCAGAAAAAACAAAAATTTACAATTTTCTAGATTACCTAGATGCAGATAAATTAGATTTCCAGTAATAAAACACTGTTTAAAATTATCTACATTGGCGTGTAGGCAATTTTTTCATCCTCCACTTGTGAAGAAATTTTGGGGTTAAACCCCACTGAGTCCCCAGGTTTAGAAAAATTTCGGCAGCTATGTTTTTGATGGTCATGAGAAAAGCAATTTTAAGTTATAGACTTGTAGGATTTTATTATTCTTGAGGTGTGCAAACTCTATAATACTTTTATTGAATTAAGATTACTTACAATGAGACCAGAGACTTGTCAACCCTAGGCCTAACAAGTTGGTGAATTCACATGAAGTAATAACTGCAAAAAAAATGTTTAGTTTCCTTTGGCACTGTCACCAGAATAAAATGCTTTCCATTCAACTTTTGCAGATCTATAATTACTGTTCATAACCAGTTTTAATTTCTGGCACATAAGGTGCTGCAGATAATTATAGATACTGAGTATATATACTGAGTTGCATTGTCTCCTTATTGCTAATTGTCACACACTAAGTATTAGTAGGGAGGTAAATTGATTGTCAGAAAGATGTAAGAAATCCTAGAATATTTTAGATGGATAATGATTGGTTAGGAGACCTTGGGAAGTTCACAAATTTTAAAAAGTGGGGTAAAGTTTTTGTGATTTGTTGGAGACTGAAAAGTATCTATAACCATGCAGAAACTAAGGTATTATAAAAATAGGTAATTCTTTTTTAAATTTTAGTCATCAAAGGATTAAAAAAATTTTCATTTTGTTCAGTAATAATTGATGAGGTATTTAGGTTATCAGCCAGTTTGATTAATTGGCACATCCCTAATTGATATAAGCTATTGTGAAATATGTAGTTTGTATGTGTGTGTATATATATTAGAGCTTTCAGGCAGTAAAGCTTTTATGATCATCAACTTACCTCTTTAACAAGATTTTCATTTGAAAATTAGATCTTTACTGTGTTTCTTTCAAGATTTTAGTAAAAGTCTGTTACCTTTTTCAAAGTGGTTTACACATAAGTATCTGTCTTCAGATCTTTGTAGATGCCAGCATGTTGGAATCCCTGTTGAACTTAGTGATCATAAAAAGAGGTCATACAACAATGTTCAATTCAATCAAGAAGTATGAGTAGCTGAAGGAATACTAAGAAAAATGTGCAGTGTGTCATAGGTGGCATGAATATGTTTAAAACAATTTTTACAGTGCTAGTGAAAGTCCTAATGGAATGGCTCTGAGCAAAAGTAGCCTTGTGTTGGGAATAATTTTCATTAGACCCTAAACAAAATTTAGGTAGTTTCATAGCATTTTTCAAAGCAAGAGATTGAACCCTGAATCTGAGCAAAGTTTAATATGAAAAAATGGATTAGCAATTTTTTTTTTTCAAGGTTGCTACCAAAACATGGCAATGTCTGAGAAGTCATATCATGATTTTAGGGTTAAATGCTTATTTATCATAAAAATTACATTTGAAATTTGTTTATTTGGTACAGAATGTAATGGATTTATTTTATATTTTAGTACAGCAATTTTATTTCTTTACTAGTATGTTTTTATAAGGGTATTTTGTTTTATGGTACATGTGTAAGAGTGGTATGTTTACTAAGTTGGACCAGTTATTTGAGAAAGATAATGTTTTTTTTTAACAGGAAAAGAGAGGGTCATACGATATCCATGTATGTGGAGCTCATGTAATGGAAACCTTTCCAGCTGAAGAAAAGAGAAGCACTATTCTTTTCTCTGATTTTTGTCAAGGGAAAGAACGGTGGGAAATATGTCGGTACTTCTTAGCAACATTACAGTTGGTATGTATCCAACCTTGAGAAAAAATTATATATTAATTATTCACCATCCAAAAACACATATCTAGTAATCAAATCACGAGCTTTCAGTCATCAATAAAGTATTTTAGTTTGCTCATATCAGGTTTTTATAGGGCCGGATTCTTTACAGTAGGTGTCTGTGACTTGCTGACGATAAATTTCAACAATAAATGGACAGCATGCAATCCACTTGTTTTAAAATAATATATTCAAAATTAATCAAACATATGAACAAAACTTTGTTACTCTATTGGTTATCACAGTTGTATCCAGAGCTTTAAATAATTATTTTTTGTCAAAGTCCACACAAGCAGGTTCAATTACTTTAGAACACCCTTTGACAAGACAAATTATTTCTTCTCTCCTCTGTTATCACAATACAATCGGTGATAAATTCACTAACATAACCAGTGGGTTGCCACAATTGTATTCAAAACTTTAGATAATTCTCTTTTATGTCTAAAGTCCACACAGGCTGGTTCAATTTACTGTAGAATCCAATTGACAAAACAAATTATTCTTCTTTTTCTCTGTTATTATAATACAAGCTGTGATACTTTTACTTTAGAAATCTCCTGTTACGACTAAACTGACAATCACGCTTAACTTTCTCTCTGTATCTGCACATATTTATAACATCCGACAGAAAAACCTAGAAATATCTAGTCCTCTAATAACAACAATATTACATACAACGAGAAAAACCTAGAAGTTTCGATTAAGATGATGTCAACAGTATTACAAAAGTTTAGTACAACAATTAAACTACATACACAATGTACGACTTGTACAGAGTTACGTAACGAAAATTGTCATAACTATTATTTTAAATAATTAACTTTTAATGCTCTTGATATGAAACTTGTCATTAAATATTAAATTACTAAATAAACTAAATAATAACTCTTAAAATGAACAGTCTTGTATATCCAACAATAAGTCCCTCATCAAGAAAAATATTTACAATATTTTTTTATACTATATTCAAAGACTGTTATCCAGTTCATACACAAAGTCTCCTCATTTGGTTGGCACTAACATTTGCAGTTCTCTTGTTGGCCTCTCATTGCATAGGGCATCTGGTAGGACTTCACTTGGACAGGATCCTTGTCTTCATCTTGATCTTGTGTTGCATGAAGTCTATTTTGCCTGGTTCATTTGTGTACTGGCACTTTCTTTTGCTTGGGTCTAGCAGTTCTTCATGTTTTATAACAAAGTCACTGTCTTCTGGTTCTGTACCTATGACAGCTGCACCTGCCATGTCCGTCTGTTTCTCTATAACTACACCTGTTAGGCGTTCTTTGCTCTCGAAGTATCTCCAACAGATTGGTGTGGTAAATCTTGGTCTTCCCATCCCCTTTCACTTTATAGTCCATTCTGTTGACCACTTCCTGCACCTTAAAAGGTCCTTTCCACTGCAGGGGGAGTTTGTAAGTGTCTGTAGCTAGCAGAACCAAGACCTTCTATCCAACTTTGAAATGTCGATCCTTGGCCCTTTTGTCATAGAAGTGATTCTGACTGCCTTTAATGTATTTAGCTTCCCCAGTAGAATTGCTTTGATAGATATGATGCAGTACTCCTTTCTAGTCCTCTAATCTGTCTTGTGCTTGACTTTCTTCTGGGCACCGTCCTAAAGTTTATGCTGTGAAGGGTCTTTCTTCTGTAGTTTCTTCAATTCTCATAGACCTACGTTCAGGATGTCATTTTCGAGACTTGAAGGGGCTTAATATCTGGATTTGTCTTTTTTTGAGCTTTTGTGGTGACTGCAGATGCCTCATCAGTCTCCTTCATACACATGGCTTCATCAAAGTCCATACAAATAAGTTCAGTTACTTTAAAACACCCTTTGACAAGACAAATTATTTTCCTTATCTCTGTTAAACTGTGAAACTTACTTTAAAATATCACTCATTACAGCTAAGCTAACAATCACACAATCTAACTTCCACTTTTTCTGACTTAACTTTTGTTGGTTATCACACTTCTTTCCAGAGCTTCAAATAACTGTCTCTTTCATCAAAGTCCACACAAACAAGTTCAATTACTTTAGAACACCCTTTGACAAAACATTGTTTCCTCTCTCTTCTGTTTTCACAATAAAATCAGTGATAAATTCACTTGCGTTACCTCGTTGGTTACCACAGTTGTATCAAGAGCTTTAGATAATTTTCTTTTATCTCAAAAGACCACATAGGCTGGTTCAATTACTTTAGAACCAAAATGACAAAACAAATTATTCTTCTCTAACACTGTTATTACAATACAATCTATGATACTTTCACTTCAGAAATCTCCCGTTACAGCTAATCTGACAATTATGCAGTCTAACATCACTTTTTTTCACTTTTACTAATTAACTTAACTTGCTTTCTGTATCTGCACATATGTATAACACATAACAGAAAAATCTAGAAATATTTAGCCTTCTAGTAACAACAGTGTTACACATAACAAGAAAAACCTAGATGTTTCAAGTAAGATGACATCAACAGTATTACAAACCCTAGTACAATAGTTTAACTACATACACAATGTACGACCCATACGGAGTTATGTAATGAAATTTGTCATAACTATCGCTTTTAAAATAATTAACTTTTAACACTTGTTATGAAAACTAAATATCAACTCCTAAACTGAACAGTCATGTATATTCAAGAGTTCAGTGATCAGTTTTCAAGTAATAGACTTGTTTTATACTTTTAAATGGTTGTTTAATATTACAATTATGTGATGTTTTGCTTTTCATTAGTAACTCTTAAAAAAGTATGCTGTTGAGAGTAAATAATTAAAAATAATTGTGGAATCTAGTTATTTGTAAGTAATCTAAAGCAAATATTATACACTTTACTAATTGGAAGTAAATTCTTTCTTGGTGTTTTAGGCCAATAACTATAATGTGGAAATATCTACAGCTGGAGTTCTAGAAAAGGGAATAGATACTATGGCTTTAACACTTTTGTCAAGGAAGCAACATTATGAAGAACTCAGGGATTTCAGGGCTCCATCTGTTAATTCTCAGGGTTGTAGTAGGTAGTTTTGACCACTGTATGAACTGTTGGATATTAAAGTGTATGTAATTTCGGCCATTTCCTTTGATAATAATAATTAGTTTAAACTAGTGCTGTATATTGACCTGTCAGTAACGTACATACCTAATTTTGTTATCATTCCACCTGTGTCTTATTAACTGTATGATCTAAACCATGTTTAATCTAAACAGTTTTTATATTTGGAGTGGGAAGGGGGATTTTATTTTTTTTCCACAAAAATAATTTGTAGTAATTGTTGTTTTTGTCAACAAATTGTTTCAAAAATAGTAGTACAACAAAAAACAGAATGCAATAACAGAATTTTTCTGAAAATTTATCTGTAAAATTGGAAATTAAAGATAGATTTTGAGTCTCAATTAAGTATAAAAAAGGGGTTTTCAAAAATGGAATTGTTAGGTTTGTAAGTAATATCCATTCCTATTGGCACATTCATAAAGAGAATATAATATTTAGCATTTTGTAACTTAACTGAATAATAATTTTATTTTTATACTGGTAGTATCACTTGGACATTGAAAGCACTGTCATATACAAAAAACTGTACCACAAGACCTTTATCAATGTTTTATGGAATTGTTACTGTAGGTATGAAATAGTCTTTTTAAAAATTGTATGAGGAACTTTATATATAGTTTTTTAACTGAAATTTGTCTCACATTTAAACTTAGTATGGGTATATACTTTGTTTAGAAAGTTTGTATGTTTATATAAATTTATATCATCACTGGTAATTACATAATAGACTTGTTTATATAAGTTTATATCATCACTGGTAATTACATAATAGACATGTTTATATAGATTTATAGCATCACTGGTAATTACGTAATAGACATGTTTATATAAATTTATATCATCACTGGTAATTACGTAATAGACATGTTTATATAAGTTTATATCATCACTGGTAATTACGTAATAGACACGTTTATATAAGTTTATATCATCACTGGTAATTACATAATAGACATGTTTATATAAGTTTATATCATCACTGGTAATTACATAATAGACATGTTTATATAAGTTTATATCATCACTGGTAATTACGTAATAGACGGTTTCATAACTTTATAGCATCACTGGTAATTACGTAATAGACATTTTAATAAGTTTATAGCACCACTGGTAATTACATAATAGACATGTTTATGTAAGTTTACATCATCACTGGTAATTACATAATAGACATGTTTATATAAGTTTATATCATCACTGGTAATTACATAAAGTATGAAAAACAAGGACATATTTTTGCAATAGCTATGAAGTGTAACTTTTAAGAATTTGTATAATCTTAAAACTGAGGCTAAAGAGAATTTAGTACTGTTTTAAAAAAATTAAACTTAATACAAACTTTTTGTATGGATTTGTAAATAAAAACATCATTTGACAAAACTACCTTGCTCTTAAGTTTTGTTGTGTGTGTGTATATAATTACTGGTATTTTTTAATATTATTTTGATGTAACATTATGAGATGTAAGGTGTCTGTATATTTAACTTGTAGGTTTCAACAGTTTCATTGTAACATACTACAATGTTGCCATGGAGGTTATGTTAAAGATTTTGTTACTGTATTATTTTTGTCATCTTTTTTTTCTTATGTTTTATTATAGGCATGCAGCATGCACAGTTAACTTGATTTCTTTTGGAACCATGGCACGCACAAATGTTTAATATCAAATGTCCAGTAGTTTAGTTTGTACTCGTGAGGGATCAATACAGTGCTGTGAAAAATAAGTCTTCATTCTTATTTGTTGTTGTTTTTTTTTTGGATACTGTAGAAACATGGTTATCTGGAACACCATATTATCTCACCATATGAAGTTTATTTTTAAAAGAAAACAAATTTTCCAGTTTTTAAGTGGATTTTGTTACACTGATACACTTAAATTGTACGTATATTCTCTCCATTGTTTGTAAAATAAAAATTATGTTTCTTCTTTTGATAATGTTGTATTAAAATATCTTGATTAGAAATCTTGGAGTTCATAGTTGGTTTGATATTGTAACTTTTCTTAAACCACCAGCATTTTTGACAAATATATATTGTACAGTGGAGGAGTCTATAAGGAGATCAGTTTTCTGTTTGTGAAGAACATTTTTATAGATTGTATCAAAAAATAAGTTAATAGATAATACTAATACCATTGATATTATAAGCTAATGGACCTATGTATATAAACAGAGATCCATGTTCAATTGATTTCATACTTCTGATAAAATAAAGTGCTTACATTGTTTTAAATTCATGTGTCAGACCCATTCTGATGTCAAGAAGGACAATATTCTCAATTTTATGTGAAATATTCTCAACTTACAGGAGTTATAAAATTAGCAATTGCTTTTAAACTTTTTTTAAGGTGCTTTCTAAGTAAGTGGCTAAATACGTTTGTTTATTATTTGCATACATTAAAAGGGGGACAAATTATCTGTGTGTTCTAATAGATAATTTTCCTTATGTTGGAACTAATGTCATTAGGAAGATAATACTTGAAATATTTTTATTATGAATTATAATTAGGTCACATGATTAATAAATTTCATTGTTTCAATTTATTCAGTATCAAACTTCATTTATATTAAAATGTAAAGTGTTTAACAACCTCATGATTATGCAGTATGGTTCAAAGGTACGTTAATATTTGTATCTCTGATATTTAAAATATTGAAGTATTGACTAGACTTTTCACAAAACTATTTTAGATATTTTGCTTCCCTACCCTTATCTGTACAGTTTTATAGCATCTTTAACATATCACTCACCCCATTATCATGTAGCACATGTCACTCGCTCATCTTCTGTTACATGTTATTATATATAAAATATCAGTCAACTCATCTTCTGTAACATATTATCTGTAATATGTCATTCATTTTAGTATCATCTGGCATACATCACTTTGTGAATCATCTGTTAAAATGTGACACATCTCATTAGTGTTGTATGGTTCACAAGTTAAATTGTCTCTGATGTTATTAACAATATAAACAAATAATTATTATGAGTTATCATTACAATTTTTACTTTTGGCATTACATTCTTAACCAAATTTTAGGATTATATGGCCTAACAAGTTTACAAGTTATGTAGGACCTCCACACAACAATCGCTTAAACTTACCAAGAAATGTCAAGTCTGCATAGAATTTATTAGTGTAATGTATATGTTAACAATAAAATTACTGGTTTCAGCTAGCAGATGATAGAAGCGTATATCAATGAAAAATTGTTGTTTTGTGCACCTTCACGTGAGAGTGTGAACGCTACAGACAAACAAACAAAAATATTTTGAAATTTATATATAGATGCTCTCACTTTCAGCCATGGTGGCATTATAATAGGATTGTTAATTCCATTATTCATTGGTAAAGAGTGACCGAGGTGCTGGTGGTGGGTGGTATTGACTAATTGATTTCGCTTTAGTCTATCATTTTAGGATTAGGGATGGCTAGTGCAGATAGACCTGCAGTAGTAGCTTTGTGCGAAGTTCATCAAACAACTCGTTAATTTCCTTGTCGTATAGTGTATTTTACTCACACAAGATTATTTCTGCAGTTCTATATTCTCCATGATAATCTCCATTTACATCATATCCTTCAGTAACTTTCTTGTAATCTTGTGTATGACATCCACATATCAACTTTCAGCATAAGTTATATCCATTTCATATTACTCTGTTATTATTCGAGTTATATTGAATTGTGGACATACCATTTTTTGCTTCTCAAATATTATCTTTACTTTTTTACACTAGCTTGTGATGTCAGTAACCTAAGCAGCTCATGGTTCTTCTCTTTCTGTTTGGTTTTAGGACACTGCTCATATCTTTGAATATGTCATGCATATCAAGATATCATTAACACTTTTAATTGGTATATTTCAATTTGTACGAAAGATAGGTAATCCTGGACCCTTCTGTAGAAAGTTTTGTTTTACCCCACACTCATGAACTAATAAATGAAATAATTAAAGAAACAAACTTAGATATTTTTTTGAATTTGAACAAAGTTGTGGATTACCATACTTGCTATTTTGAAGATTTACTAATTAAGTTTTTAAATTTTAATTGCTATTTATCCTTGATCTGGATTATGTGTCTGCCACCTCTACTGTATTCTTATACTGAGTATAGATATTCTACTGAAATTGCAAATCTTAGAACTGTACACTTTGTATTTCAACCAGTTTATAATCAGATCAGTAATCTGGGTGTCTATTTTTTATTTTTACTTCCAATATGTAGACATAATTTTTTTACTTTGTGAGGTTTTTGACAGTATTGTATCAATAATATTTTATAATAATGAATTTTTTTGTGTTGTTAAATGTAAAAAATTGTTAGCATTCATTTGTATGTTGAATTATTTTTGACACATATTATAAAGAACATATTTTGTTCTACTATGAAAATATTTATCTAATTTTTAAAAATACTTTTCAGAATTTCTTATGTACATTTTTTCATATGAAAGTATGTAAAATTCTGACATGCAATTAGGAGAAGAATTACCATAAAATATGTTAATTATTTTAATGTTTGATAAATGCTTAAGATAAAAACTATTTACTTTGTAAAGGTATTCTTGGTTTGATAGATAATGTAGTTACTCGTGGGTAGTACAAAAGCTGGTTCTGTACTGCATTAATATTTTTTCTGTATTATTAACTTCTACACTGACTAAAGTTAACATCCTCAAAAGGAAAGACATACATGGACTTCTGCCTTGGTTTAATTGTGAAACAGTTTACATGCGGCCTTACACAGCATGTTAATTAGGGCACTCAACTTGAAATTTGCAGGTCATATGTTTAAAACCCATCATCAAACATGCCTGCATTTTCAGCTGTGTGGGCATTATAATGTGACTATAAATCCCACTATTTGGTTACAGTAGCCCAAGAGTTGTTGGTGTTGACTAGCTGCCTTCTCTCTAGTATGGATATTCCTTGAAAAGATCTATACAAAATTCAACAAAGAAAGAAATAGTTTGCCTGTTGGATGCAATGCTTAAAGTCATTTTGAAAGAAATATAACTACTAGGGGTTGTTTGGAGGACCAATGTCAAGAAAAGCAGGACCATAAGTGTATGATATGTATATACACATCACTTTGTTGACTGAAAAAAAGGAACCAAACATTTGTAGAAATGTTGAATCCCCTGGATACTATCACCAGCCAATTCCTGTGATATTGTGGGAATGTTAACTGTGTGATGGTCAAGGCATTACTGGA